TTGGAACCGGAAAAGACGTGGTAGGAGATGGAGTGACAGAGCATTCGGAGCACAGCAGGGGAGGAGCAGGACCACCAGCAGCACAGGGAGCCGTGTGACATGCGGCTTCCCCCTGCTGGCCAGCAGGCTGCAGCGTTTAGCGCACGCCTAGCTCCCTGGCAGAGGGGCTTATCTGGCTTTGGCTTCAGCAGCTCCCTATCAACAGCGCTAAGCCTGAGGTAAGCGGAAACCAGAGCGGCCTTTCACCCGCTTTCCCTCAACCCATTTCGAAAGCCTGGTGTGAAACCAGGGCGGCTGCTGGACAGAGCAGGGTGGAGGAACTGGTTTAAACTGTACCCAAATCAGCCACTTTTCAAGCACAATCAGGGCCCAACGGGGGCTGTGCACCAGCTGTTTTCACCACAATGGCATTTCCGTCTGGGAGCAGACAAGCAGGGAGGCTCCCTACAGAACTCGGGCAGGGAAAGGCAGAGACTCGCAAGCATCCCAAAGCCCAGACAGAGCGCAGACTCCCCGGTCAGCGTGGCAAATCGGCACAGGGGCCGACGGAAATGAAATTGCACACTGGGGTTTCCCCTGGACGCCGTCTGCAGATGCCCCGTTGTGATGCGGCTGGGAGGGGGCCGGTGAGGCAGCAGAGGCTGCACAGCTCAGAGCTCTACTTCAGTCCTGAGGACTCCTCCAAAGCCCTTGGACACTTCCCCAGTGGCTGTAACGGGCACTGCGTGGATCTAGATGCAGCGTTATGAATCTCGTTCTGCTAGCAACCGGAGCGTCCCCTGATCTCACCCTGCCGCAATCCCAACGGGAACGGAGCACACGCGTCAAGCCAGGCCAATTAGGTGAGTGCTATTGTCTCTCAGAGGTATTCGCGAGTGTGGCCTGATCAGAAGCGTGTCCCTTCAGCACACTGCAACGTCAGATCCGTGACACAAACCCTGTTATTTACTACTTGCCCACACTGCAACCCTGTGTGCCCAACAGCCTGCTGAATAAACGACCTTCGCCTCTGCACAAGTACCAGGCAGAAATCCTGCCTTCCACTGCCAAGATTCACGTCCACAAAGTTCTGATCGTTAACAGCTCCTGGGTTCCGAGCCTTCCCGAGATTCCCGGCCGCACCAGCTTTGCTTCACAACGCCAGCCAAACCTCCGCTCATCTGCGCCAGCGGTTAATTACCCTCCCTACAAACATGCTGTGGTTTTATTTGCATTCCAGATTGGGCACCCTTGGTGCCCAACATTTAGTGAGCAATTTTGTACATTTGGGCCTTAATGACTCCCCCAAAGCGGCGCACGCCAGCCCCGTCCAAACTCCACTCCCTCCTCCTAACACATAAGGGGTTACACTGCAGTCGGTTATGCTGTCATTTCATTCCAATCCACTCCAGTTTAAGCTCTTCCTTTCGGAGTAACTTGTTTCAGTTCCGAAACAGCTGTTGCTAATTATGCAGCTAGGAAATATTATGCAGTAACATTAATCAACTGCCTTTGGCCAGTTTGCCATGAAAAGCTATTCTGTTGGAAATGTTTGCTGATCTCCAGATAAAGCCCTCTCTCAGCAAGGGAGAGGCAGCTCCGTGGCATGCCCAGTTATGAAAGGGGGTGACACCACACAGCTGGCTCAGCTTGCTGACTGTTGGACAGCACACCAAAAAACCACACCCAAAAGAACACGGACCCTTAAACCTTTGCAATGGTTCGGCAGCTGGTGTGCTGTGACCCTGTCCGTCAGGCTGATCAGAACGGTCTTTTTGTTTCCTTCTTCTCTCCCCTCGGCCGGTCCGTATTCATCTGTTGTCTCGTCTTTGTGCAGCAGCTTGCGCAAGAACAGCCTAGTCCCTGGCTGGCGCTCCAGGGTACCAGCCTTCGACAAACTACGCTAAGTCCTGTGGCACTTTATAGACCAACAGATTTATTGGAGCACGAGCTTTCATGGGCAAAGACCCACTTCGTGAGATGTACATAGTGGAAAACATCTGAGGAAGTGGGTCTATGCCCACGAAAGCTCATGCTCCAATAAATCTGTTGGGTCTCTAAGGTGCCACAGGACTTCTCGTTGTTTATGCAGATTCAGACTAACACGGCTCCCCCTCTGAAACATGTCACCATGCAAAGCGTCAGACAGAGAAATAATAAGTAATAATCCCCTGCCACTAGTTCGCTTCAAAGTCTGAAGAGGGGAATTCTCCTTCCTTAATAAAAACAGGCTAAGACCCCTGGTGTTGCATGAAGGTTTCATTATGCACTGAGCAAAACAGGAGTCGTTTCCTTGGTGGCATCTGCTCCCAGGGAAGCACCTGTTCAGGGCTTGGCTGGATCGGGCCCGTTTCTGGTTCATGAACACCTCAGGGACTGGCCTGTGTGTTACCCGTCACCCTCGGTGGCAGATCCTCAGAGCAGGGGACAGCCCCTCCTTCCCGGATAAGGCGACGTCGACATAACCACTCACAGCTTTAGAACGCTGGTTGCTCGGAGGATGGGGGCGGGAATAAGCCATGCCCCGGAGCAAGGCAAGTTGCACTAACCTAACTGCCAGCACGAAGAGAGCTCCCTGGCGCACTGGAGGGTAGCCAGCAGGACAGGTGCTGGCATCACCTCGCAGATTTTAACAGGCAGAAGGGCCCATTGCAATCGCCTAGTCTGAGCTCCGGGATAGCACAGGCCAGGGGGTTTCAGGCAGCCAGCGGTTCCGTGCCGGCTGGTGCATCTGGAAGACAACCGGACTCTCACTCTGCCAGTGGCAAAAGGCCAGTGACAAGGCGGACTAAGTGCCCAGACGCGAAATCCCACAGAGCACACTTTAGCCTGGGGTCTTGAGGAGCAGCCACACCCCTTTTCAAATCTCCTAAAAGGCAGGGGAGGTGCGGGGGCTCTGCAGTTGACCTTGGCAGGATGCTGAATGCTAACTGATGTAATTCGAATCAAAATACTTTTCCGTGTTGGTTCTGAGGGCACGCTCCCCCAACGGGACCTTAGAGGCAGGAGGGCTAGTTGCTTCTCTCGCACGGTTAGTGTACAGGCCTTGGAGGGCTGAAGTGGACAGTGAAATCTGGAGAGTTTATGCCGTATGCACTGTCACAACGCGAGCTGCCTGCACTTTTTTTCCTGCTTGGAATCACGCTCCCTTCCCTCTGAAGCAGGGCTCGGGGGAGATGCCCTTTGTCGAACAGGACTCTGCATTTTCGGCGGAAGATTTGTTTCCTGCCATGCCCACTCTGGAAAGCTCAACGGCCTTTTCTGGCCCTCCAAATACCAGAATGTCACATTCCAGCAAGGGAGCGTCTTCCACGTTCGTACGTGCAAAGCCAAGGAGTTCCCGCAAGGGCTGGCTTGTGAAACCAGCATTGCACGTCTCAAAAAGGACGTGTCAGGCCTCTCTCCTCCACCCCTCTTCAGGGATTGCCGTGGGTCGGCACTCAAAGCCCGGAGGGAAAAGCTAATGTAATAGATCCTTCGCGCACACAGTTCTGCTCCCAGCTCCTCTGCAAGAGGGACACAATGATCCCAGTGGCTGCAGGTGCTTAGAAACTGGCCTATGCCGAGAGCTGGCACACGGCCGTCGGGATTGGTGCGAGGGACAAGGAAGGGAGCAGTTGTGTGGCCTGCTCCCCCAGCCAGCCAATCACTGCAGGGAGTAACTGCTGGACAGCAGCAGCACGTGGAAGGTCAGTAGTAACGTGCCCGCTGGCCCGGGGCAGGACATGCTCCTGCCATCCCTGCCAGGCAGGAAATTCCGCTAGTTCAGCACTAGCCGCCGTGGTAGCCCTCCAGCCAGGGATGTCGTGCTGGCAGGCAG